GGCGATATGCTGACTCTGTAAACCGCTTAGAGAGGGCTGAAAGCCCTATGAAGTGGTATATGTCTAATTGCTATTGCTATTCTAGCTGCTGGTTAGGACCGTTTATGAAGACGTTGAAGAGTCCTTGGCCTACTAGGAACTGTATCCCCCAGATAGAAAGGCATGTCCAGGGTCTCTTGGTCCATCCAGGCTCTGGTGAGGAATTGGGATTTATTTATTTGATCGATCGATCGATTTCTACCTCAGTCAGTCGATGATTTTGAGTGGCTTACAATCTAGGATTGCCAAAGAATTTCTAGGATCTGGCCTCTTTCCCCTCAGAACAGTTGATAGGTTATTTAGAGAGCATGCATCTCCCTCCACCCTGTGGTGGCACATAGAAGGTCTGAGGAGACATGTGGCAAATTCCGCAAAAGTAAGAGTTGGGGTGGGCCTTGGAGAAGATCCAGTCCTGTGTCCTTCCCAGAGCAGGAATAGCTAAAATGCCCCTGACAGATGGCTCTCCCGAATCTGGGCAACTCTTATTCATAGGGAATTCTTTCTGAAGTCCAACCAAAACCCACTTCATTATTTCTTTGGGAAACTTTTTTATTGGTTTATCAAAATATAATATTCAAAGAGAATTTCAAAATAGTAATAGAAAACTAGAAGGAGGTGGAGAGAAAAGAAAAAAAAATGGTGTAAAGAGGGAAAAAGAAAGAAAAAGGCACCAATTTCCTACTCCCTTTAGCCAGGGGTGGGTTTCAAAATATTTTACTGCCTATTCTGTGGCCATGGCCTATTTTGTGAGCGTGGCTTGGTGGTAATGTGACCAGGTGGGTGTGGCCAAATTGTAAAATGTGGTGAAACTCACTTAATAAAGCTCTTGCTTAGCCACCAAAATGTTGGCTCAGGAACTCTGGCATTTGAAGCGTGCAAGTCTTAAAGCTGTCAAGTTACAAGACCCTTGCACCCCTAACCCTTTAGAAAAAAAAGCCTCAGGAGTGTTCAAACTTGACAGCTTTAAGACTTGTGGACTTCAGCTCCCAGAATTCCTCCTCCAGTCATGTTGGCTCAGGAACTCTGGCATTTGAACAAGTCTCAAAGTTGTCAAATTACCCTTGCAAACCCCCCCCCCAAACTAAAACTTTATTTTTAAAGCATTTTGCAACTGGGGAAAGTCAGAACAAGGCACACCAGCCACACACCACCTCCACCAACTTTGAAGTCTTTCTCTCATGCTGCCAAAACTCCTCAGTGCTCCTCAGTGGAGGTTGCTTGGTGGTCCTCC